AAAAAAAAAAAAAAAATGTCCACAAAACAGGGAAAAAGCTCTCAGGCAACAGTGACCCCTCTAGGACTCAACCTGGGACTTCTAGAGCTGTGTGAACTTAGATTTCTGTCAGTTATGCCATGAAGTCTGCAATATTTCACTACAGCTATGCACACAGATACAGACAGCAGAGCAAACTGACATAACAAGTCTTATCACTTGCCCTAATTATTTTTAAAAGGTTATGACTTTAGAATAACAATTTCTGGTAGTCATTATTCAAGTTCTAAACTACTTGATGATTTGAGCTGATAGCAGGCTGACTTGTTGCTGTATCTCTCCATCTCCTCCCACTGGATTATCACATTCTTTTCCCAAAGGTATCTGAGATTGGACCCTAAACAGCCCCACTCCCCTGGTGTAGTGCACACCACAATCTCTGAGCAATGGGAGGAGTTCAAGTCCACCTGGGGCAATTTATCAAGACCCAGCCTCAAAAACTGAAGAAGGGTGGGGATGTGGCCCAGTGCACAGGCTTTGGGTTCAAACCCCGGTACTTCAAACAAAAGTTCCAACCAGTACAGCTATATACACAGGAGCTGAGACACTGAGTCAAAACGCCACAACATCCTAATGATTACCGGTCCTAAGCTTCGGGCCATCCCAGTGATTATCCAGGCTTAAACTGAGGTCACGCAGATTGCTGACATCAGAGAGACTGAGGGAGGTGCAGTGGAGCAGTGTTGTCGACCCCACAAATACCAGAAGCCTGACTTATCGAGGACGCTCTTTCCATTTCACACTGGAGCCCTTTCTCCCTTTGCACTTGAGTCCCTTTCTCTTTCACGTTCTCTCCCTTCGCCCTTCCTGCTCCTGCTGCTGTCCCAGGACCTTCAATAATGTACCTACCTACTACATACTCTACAAGGTATACGCTTGAGAATTCTTTACACAAGAACCTGGACTATTTTTGGCCCACTCAATTGGAGCACAACTATCCACCAAAGTGGAATTTTCCCGTAAGTATGTGGCACTAGAGTAAGGTACTCACATTAATTCATTTAAATATCTGAGCACCTACTACTTACTTGGCAATGGCTATAATCAGCATGAAGTTCCAACCATCATACAAGTGAAGGACAGAGCCTTTGTGGGCTCTGGCCCTTGGTATAATCCTCACCTTTATGTTTATATATTAATGCCCCTAAGCCTCCTTAGCAGATATCAAAGTTGGGCTTCCCCTCATGAGGAGATGAATAATTTCATGGTAGCAGGGTATTGTTGCCTGCTGGCCCATTTTTCAGTTCTGTTATATTTACCAATATAGCATATGTACATATACGCCTATTTAACTATTTCTTTAGTTCAGGAAATATTCATCTATTACCATAAAGTTTGCATCATCTTGCTTTAAAAAAAACTTTTTTTTAAATAATGAAAATCAAAAGGCTGATAGTCATGATAATAAAATTGAGAAAAGACAGACATCGTCACATATACTAACAGGGAGAGTGGCCAGCTGGCCATGTGTCCAATTCCTGAGTACCAACCACGTGTACAACACAAGCTCTGCTTCCAAGCCAAGCGGGAGAGATAAAAGAACCAGAGAAACTTTAGAAAGGTGAACTGTTGATTATAAAAACATTATTTGTACAAGTGAGACAAAATAAGTTAAATGATAGATTAGAACTTGCCTAGGATTAAGAGTCAAGGAAGCAGGGATCAGTATCAAGGGTATTGTGTTTTACGTAGTGAAAACTATCTAAAATTGACCATCCTGAAGTTTGCACAACACCGAACATACTAAAAGTCACTGAGCTATATATTTTAAATGGGTGAACTGTATGGCATACGAATATCTCAAAAATATATTGCTGATTAAATCTCTCACCTGAAACCCTCACCAGTTAAAAAGATACTGTCATTATCTAGTGTTTCATCTACATGTTTTGCTTTAAACAATTATGTCCATTATTTTATGATTAAAGAGAAGTACAACCACCGGGGATTTAGCTTAGCTGTCTCTGCATCCTTTTCTGTCGCCCTGAATACTTTCCCACAACCTGCACTCACCTTCATCATGACGTTTAATGTGTATTTTTGATCTTCCCGCCTTGCTGTAGCTTTCGCTTCTGTAGCCTCTTTTGCTCTCTCTTGTGCTTGTAAAATAGATTTTTCTCTTATTCTCTGCATCATCTCTTTGTCAACTAAAATAGAAGGAATATAGTATCTCAGGACTGCGATTAACTGATCTGACTTAGGAGAGAGCTACTCATCATATGGGCCATGATGAGATCTCTCTTGACACAACTTCATGAAAAGTGAAAACATATGGAACTGGCCAAGGAGCTAACCTTCAAAGCAATTTAGCACAATAATAATGAAGAGAAGGGCAGAGTGAGGGAGGGACAAGCTAGGGAAGGAATGACAGGAAGAGGGAAATGAGAAGGAAGGGTAAAACGGAATGGCAAGGGGATGAGAGCACACTTACCTTTCTCTGCTGAGAAACTAAGACTAAATGCTTGTAAACTTGTTTATAATAAATCATCCTTATAAGGTCTCCTAAAAGACTGAACTGATTGATCAAATCACCTTCAAAAACAAAAAACGGTGCTGGGCATGGTGGCACACTCTGGGAGGAGAGCAGCCTTGGGAATTTAGCTATTTAATGAGACTGTTTCAAGCTTTAAAAAAAAAAAAACCAATTTAAAAAGGGCTGGGGATGTAGTTCAGTGAAAAAGCCCTGGGTTCAATCCCAAGGGCTAAATAAATAACATGGTAACTTGTGCATATGGAAAGAACCAACTGAAGGAAAATTGGGGACATATGATATAATTTTTTTTTCAGTGATGGGGATTGAACCCAGGGCCTTTGCACTGAGCTACACCCCCTCTTTTTTGTTTTTGAGACAGTCTCACTAAGTCACCAAGTTGCCCAGATTGGGCTCCTACCTCAGCCTCTAGAGTGCTGGGATTATAGGCATGTGCCTAGATCACATTTTTTTTTTTTTTGAGACAGGGTCTCGCTATGTAGTCCAGGCTGGCCTTCAACTTTCAGCACTCCTCCTGCCTCAGCCTCCTGAGTCCTGGGATTACAGGCATGCACCACCACACCTGGCACAATTATTGACAATGATTTTTTTTTCTTTTATTTTGCGGTACTGGGGATCCAACTCAGGACCTTGAGCTCGAAAGGCAGGTGCGGTGCCACTGAGCTAAATCCCCAGGCCCCTGGCATAATTATTATTATTGTTTTTGGTACCAGGGATCGAACTCAGGTCTTTGCACTTGCAAGGCAGGCAGCATGGCATAATTATTTTTACATTCATTATAGCTCAATGTTTCCAAACTGCAGCCTGTGATCCATTACTTTAAGGAAGGAAGAGAGAAGATCTAGCTTCAAGGAGAATGGAGGAAATCTGGGGGATAGGGAGAGGTGGCATGGTGGACAGATCAGGTAGGTGAGAGATGAACTGTGGCCGGGCACAGGCTCTGAGCCTTTTCTGTACATCAGAGCCTCTGGCAGAGCAGCTGGCCTCATAGCCCTTCACAGGTATTTTATTCACCAAGGTCTTGGTGTGCCACACCTTACGGTGACATAGGTGGCAGTGGAAGAACTGTCTCATTTAAAGCAGGCACTGTGCCTCCTTTTCCTACAACAGTGGAAGGGGTTGGGATGTGCTGCTGAGAACTTGCTGCTTTGTAAACTGAAGGCTGGGAGCTGAAGGCAGCTTCTCTTAGCTCCTCTTGGCTGCCTGAACAAATGCTCAAGCAACCCAGCACCACCCTCAGCCGTCACACATCTCCTGAGAGCCCATCTTCCAGGCAGCACTGACTTTTCTGTTTTATTACCCAGGCTGCCTCCAACACCTGGGCTCAGGTGATTCTCCTGCCTCGGCCTCCTGAGTAGCTGGGACTACAGGCGCCTGTCTTCATACCCTGCTGGGATTAACTCTCATCACAAGACAAGAGACTAGTAGAAGTCTTGATCACACCCTAGCAAACTGATTAGCTCACTGTCCTGCTATTGTCTTCCCTAACCCTAAGGACCCCGCTGCCCTGCATGCCTGCCTCACCTTCTCATAGTAAGAGGGTCTAATGAACCCTCAAATCTCACCCCTTTGTTTGGGTTCACTTTTCCATTCAAACACATATTTTAATAAAAAACACCCACCACCAGACACAGAAAGGCTCTCCCACATGACCGCTTCTTTCTTATGCAAAGTGAAGACAATAGCATCATTTCCAATTTTTGCTTTGCTGCTCCCATCATCTATGGGAGCATAGAGAAATGCCTCAAATAGAAACGGGGGAAAGTTGACCTGTTCGGAGAAAGAAAACAGAGTCAAGTTAGTTACACAAATTAAAGACACTGCCATTAAAAGAAATATGTGGCTGGGGAACACCTGTAATCCCAGCACTGAGGAGGCTGAAGCAGGATTGCCACGAGTTCAAGGCCAGCCTAAACTAGACAGTGAGACCCTCTGTGGAGGACTGACTAATGGTCAACTTGTAACACCCAGCTGAACTGAATCAGCAATGGTCTGGGTGTGGAGGATCCACCTGAAGACTGTTACCAATAGCCATAAAAAAGAACTGTAGGGGAAGATAGTGGCCTGTTGATTTACTAGAAGCTTGCTGTGGATAGTTTTCCTGACGTAAAATAGGCTGTTCTCTTCGGAGGAGCTCTTTGTCGCTGGGAGTGGCTGGACACACTGCCTTTCATCCTCAGGACTGGAAACAGTGTGGACCATGCCACAACACTGACACATAGCAGCCCCAAAATACTTCTGCTCCAAGTCCTTTTTGTATTGCCTGAAGATATACTGAAGACAGACTCAGGAGAAACTCTGTTCTCACCAAAAGAATAGTCTGAGGCAAATGCTTACTTTTATCAAGTGTATTTGCCTCTGAAGGAACTAGTGCGCCTGATGAATACCCAAGCACCACTAAGGCCTGTTCTTCAGCTTTACACCCCCAGTTTGGCGATATCAGGGGAAACCAAAGCCTCAGCTTCCTCAGACCACTCTCTACTTTTATTTATTATTTTATTTTCAAGATGGAGTCTCCCTAGGAAACCCAGGGTAGCCTTGAACTTACAATCTTTCTGTCTCAGTCTAGCATTATAGGCATTGTTTTTATTTGGTGATTTTTTTTTTTTTTTTCTGGTGCTGGGGATCGAACTCAAGACCTTCGCTTGCAAGGCAGGCTCGGTGCCACTGAGCGAAATTCCTGGCCCTGTTTTTGCTTTTTTGAGACAGGATGACAAGAGCATCACCGTGTAGCCCAGACCAGCTTTGAACTTAGAATCCTCCTGCCTTAGCCTCCTGGGTTCTAGGATTACAGTCAGTTGGAATTTCTTTTTGTGTTTTGCTTTTTGTTTTTGATCTCGTTTCTCTTTTTTAAAACGTATTTTATTAGTGCATATTTGCAATAGGTGATGTTTGTGTCCATCTTAGGGAGTGGGGACATGTATTTAACACATCTTGATTCTTTGTATTCCCCTTCCCTTCCCCACCCACATCCATTCTTCTATCTCTAGATTCCCATTTTCGTTATTTTTTTTTTTTTAAGTCACGTTTGGGTCATACACTGATTACATTATTATGGGTAGTTGGTGCACTACGAATCTGAAATTTCATGTCCCATCCCTTTTCCCTCCCACTCTCCCCAGACTGGGTCTCTCGCTCTCCTTCCTATTTGCAGGTTTATCTCCGTGTTTCCTTTTGCCAATCTTTTATTTGGTCTTCATTTGTACCACGGATAACGCAAATGAGAGAAATCATATGGATCTGTGTGTGATTTATTTCCCTTAACATTATGTTTTCAAGGTGCCTCCATTTTCCTACAAAATGGCTCGAATTGATCTTTCTTTATAGCGGGGCGATATTCCATCACGTATGAATACCAATTTTCTTTATCCGTTCGTCTGTCGAGAACGCATTGCCTGCTTCCAAGATTTGACTTAGGAACTGTGCTGCTATAAACACTGGAATGCACGCATCACTGAAACATGGTGTTTTTAGCTCTCCGGGGGATGGAACTCGGTTTTAAAATTCGGATTAAAGACACCCCTGTGCAAGGCCGCTCCGCGGCACTCTTGGGACCACGGCCCCTCGGACCCGGACGCAGCTCCCACCTTCAGGTAATTCTCCGTGCAGAACACGTCCGCGTCTCTGGCGCAGACGCCACGCAGGGGCAGAGAGAGGAAGACCGCAGTCGGCGTCTGCTGCCAGCTGTAACCGCAGACCTGCAGCGGCATCACGGCCACGCTGAGGGCTGCCGGCTCCTCGCAGCGCAAACCGCCCGGTTTCTGGGGAAGCTGGGTTCACGACCGCACTACTCCTTCCGGGTCAGCCTGCACGCCCCTCGGTTCCCAGCGTGCCCCGCGTACACCCCAGACGGCCCGTGACCGCGCCCCGTCACAGCGTGTCCCGCGCGCGTCGCCGTCTCCCAGGGTTCCCCCGTCTTGCGAGCTTCCGGGTTGAGGTGCGAGCAGGTAGCAGATGACGCCGACGGCGCAGGATTGATTCTAGCGCGACGCCCAGGACCCCCGGTTAGGGCGAAGTGGGGAGAACCTGGACAGGCCGCCACTGCAGGCCCGTGGCGCTCCCCGGGGAGCGCCTGCACTGCTGGCGCCTTCGGCGGTCCGAGCAGGCGCGAGGCTCCGGGCGCTGAGATGAGGCCTCCCCGGCGCCCCTTTCGGCAGCACGGCCGGAGGCTCCGACACCGGCCCACCGCGTCCCTACCTTCCGTTCGTGTAGTCAGCGATGAAAGTCTCCAGTGATGTATCTGACCGTAGAATTTTTACAGGTTATCTTAAACTGAGCAAAATTGACCACAATTTTAACATTTCATTGCTGTTTTCAAACTGGTTACAGTATATTCAAATACGGTAAACTACCCCCCAAAAAACAGTCTGCAGGACTTTATCGCTTTCCCTGCCTACTCAGCTTTCAACCTCGTTATTTTCTCTTTGGGGACAGGGTCTCACTGTAGTGTCCGGGCTGGCCTTGAACTCAGAATCCTCCACCTTCGGCTTCTGAAGCAGTGGGGAGTAAGGCTTGCGCCACCGTGCACTGCTTCACTATCGTTTTTTTTTTTTTCTTAACCTTTTCCTCCACCAAGCACTTTAGAAGGAGACTGCAGTTTTTATACTTATTTGCAACTTTTCACATCAGAACGGTATTTGAGGCTGTTTTCCACTGCAGTGAGATACCCGAGGCCAGGGTTAATAAGTTTTGGAGGCAGAAAGTCTAAGATCAGGTGTTTCTGTTTGGCCTCTGGTGAGGACCTCATTCTGGGTGGCATCCCCTCAGAAGTGCAGGGAAGACAGAGCTTGAAGGCAGGCGTTGAGGGTTTCATACTGCCCACCCTCTCTACCTAGCTTGCTCACTCCGCTAGACCAGTATCAGTACTTTCTAAGGGCAGGACCTTCAATAAGCTGGTTACAGTTTACGCAGCCCAGTGCTCAAAGACCTGGGACTTAGTTCTGCCATACTGGAGATCAGGCTTCCAGTACACCAGACCCTAGGAGAAAACTATCCACACCACAACAGATGTCTCCATCTCTCCTGTTATTAAAAACTATCTACTTCTTTCAATCCCCGGTACCAAAAAAAACCCAAAACTATCTACTTCCACTTTACAGGAAATTTTATGAAGCATCTGAGGACTATATTGTATATAACACACATTTTGTAGTCCATGAGAGTTCTTAAGTGTATATAGACAACCACCTACAGCCACATACATATCCCTTTCACACAGTGAAGTAGCAAAACGACCGTATTCATTAATACATAAAGGGCTGCTGTATAACCTATAAAAGTCCAGGTTAATAGTTGTAGATCAGTAGTAGAGTACTTGCCTAGCATGTGCAAGGTCCTGGCTTGGATTCCCACCCCTGCAAAAAATTAATTCAAAAATCCAAAATGTATGTGTATGAAGTATGCGTAGTGGCTACCATACTTTGGGTATTTTAGAAATTACCAAACATCCAAAGTTTTTTTCTAAACATTTTGTGTGTGACTGGCAACTGAGTGTAAGGCCTTCTCACTGAGCTACATTCTTAGCCCTTTTAAACTTTTTTTTAAAATTTTAGGACAAGGTCTTACTAAATTGCTTAGACTGGACTTGATCTTGCCATCCTCCTGCTTCAGCCTCCCAGAATGCTGGAATTACAGCCATGTACCACCATGCCCAGCTAAAGATTATCAATTATTTGAATAAATGCAGCTCAGGATCTTAAAGTCAATATGTAAATTGATGTACTACAGACATAATATACTTTTTTTTTTTTTTTGTAGCGGGGATCAAACTTGGGACCTCGCACTTGTGAGGCAGGCGGCAGAACCACCTAGCTAAATCCCCGGCCCATAATATACTCTTTAGCCAGATGTCGTGGTATTGTGACAGCTAAGTTAGTTATAAATATTACAGGCAGTTAGGGCTGGCCCCTCAGCATAGAAGACAAAGAGGCACATTCACTGAAGGCCAGGCTTCAAGAAAAAGAGGTTTGCCAGGCTGGGGATTTAGCTCAGTGCTTCTGCCACCTGTCTGGCAAGTCCAAGGTCCTGAGTTCAATCCCCGGTACCAAAAAAAAAGGTTTGCCTATACTCAGATACCTCCCCTAGAGATGAACAGCAGAGATTGGTATTCTAAATAGGCATCAATCACCTTAGGTGGGGACAAGAACCTCCCTAGCCTGTTTCTTCTTGGAAAACCCTTGTTCATTCCAGGTATCCACGCTACTTGACTTGCTTCCAGGTTTGATGCCTGTTCCATCAGTATTACCTAAGTGACTATACTTGTTGTGATCCTATTTGGTGAGCATGGCATAGATGTCCCAACTCACACCTTGTGATTTCCCATTGAATCAGCATTACCTAAGGAAGTAGGCTTGCAATCTGAGTTGACTGTAGTTTTGGCCCACTTTGATCCAACCTCACCTTTTGGCTTTGCTCTCAATAAAACACCCTTGAGAAACAGGATTGGCAAGTAACCCACTTTCCAGACCCCCTTCTGTCGATCTTAGAAGCTATCTTTCTCTCAAATTCTTTTTTTTTGGTACTGGGGATTGAACTCAGGACCTTGAGCTTTTGAGGCAGGCACGGTGCCACTGAGCTAAATCCCTGGCCCCTCAATAAATTCTTCTTACTCTTAACCTCTGTTGTTCGTGGAATTCATTCTTCAATTTTGGAGAACATGAACTTGAGTTTCAGATATCTAGCAGGTCGGGAGTTATATTTCCCTTATATTATTTGATACATCCTGTATCACTGGCATGTGTCTGTAATCCCAGCATTCTGGGAAATTGAGGCAGGAGGCTCTCAAATTTAAATACCACCTGAGCAACTGAGACTCTGTCTCAAAAAAATAAAGAGCGCTGTGATATAGCTCAGTGCAAGGCCCTGGGTTCAATCCCCATTATCACACCAAAAAAAAAAAGAAAAAAATTGAGAGAGAACATAATATACTCTTGATATTCTTGAGGTATTTTTGTTTGAGACAAGTTCTCACTATGTACTTCAGACTGACTTGAACTCACTATGTAGCCCAGTCTGACCTTGAACTCTCAGTGATTCTTTTGCCTCCTGCCTCATCAAGTGCTAGGATTACAGGTGTCCACCACCACACCTGGCATTATTCTTTGTTAAAGTTTGTCGGGCTTATAAATCTTTTTTTTTTTTTTTGGTACTGGGGATCAAACTCGGAACCTTGTGCTTGCAAGGCAGGTGCCGGAACCACTGAGCTAAATCCCTGGCCCAGACTTAACAAATCTTATTTAAATAAAACTATTTTTTTCCGTATCCTAGATATTACTAAATATTATATAGGAACAATATCATCTTATCAGATTAAATAAATATAATGTAGAAAGTACAGATTAACAATTTTCTTCATGAGAAATAAATCGAAGTTATTTATTTATGTTTGTTTTGAGACAGGGTGTCAATATGTAGTCCAGCCCTGACTGCCTGTAAAATTTATAACTAATTTAGCTGTCTACAATAATTTGATTGCATGAAAACAACTTTTTTTTTTGGTACTGGGGATCAAACAGGACCTTGCGCTTGGCAGGTGGTGGCACCACTGAGCTAAATCCCTGGCCCCTCTTTTTAAAAAAAATACATAGGTGAGAAAGGTTTTTTTTTCTTGAAAAGCTGCCATAAACCAGGTGTGATAAATCATACCTGTAATCCCAGCATTCTGGGAGGCTGAGGCAGGAGGATCACAAGTTCAAACCCAACTGGGGCAATTTAGCAAGATCATGTCTCAAAATAAAAAGTAAGAAAAGGGCTGGGTTGTAGCTCAGTGTGAAGGCCCTGGGTTCAATCCACAGTACTGCAAAAAAAACAAAACAAAAAACCTTCCATTTAAAGTATTAGATAAAGCACAAGGACCCGAGTTCGATTCCTGGTACCAAAAAAAAAAAGTATTAGATGTTCAGTTTATTTTTAGAAATTGTTGAGAAAATAGGTTTATGTAAGGCCTTTTAAGTTTCTAAAAACAAACTGATATTTTTAGGCTAGGGTTGGCTTGAGCATTGTATCAGTGTTTACTAGAGAAACATAACACAAGATATATAAATATATAAGAATTTACAAGATTGGCTTACAGTGGCCACCCACACAGTCAGATGAGGAAGCATGCAGAGGGTCTATCAGCCCACTGGAGACTGAAGGATTTAGTCAAAGGTCTGGATCTCACTGCAGTGTCCCATGTGAGTCCACGTCCATATCAGGAGGCTGATGGGTCTGCAACAGAAGCCTGAGCCTGCACTGCAAGGCAGGAGATGACATCGCAGGTGAAGACGGGAACTCCTCCAAAGGAGCAGAGGGACCCCCATCCTTCCTCATTTCCCCTTTAAAAACGTCCAGGCGAGGAGCGGCCCTCGGGTGAGTCTCCCACGACCTAGGGCATGGAATTGCTGAGCCAATTTAGCTAAGCTTTTAACCAAACTTTTCAAGTTGACACAATCACTCATCCACCACAAGCATTATGAGATGTTTAGCATCATCCAGACTTCTGTTTGCCAAATGCCAGAAACACCCCAAATTGTGATAGTCAAAAATTTCTAATTACAAGTTGAAACTCATGTTGGGTAACTTAGCGAGACCTTGTCTCAAAAAATTTTTTTAAAAATGGTTGGGCGCACAGCTCAGTGTGAAGGCCTGGGTTCAGTACCCAGCACTGGAAAAAAAAGTCCTCTAGATATTGCCAATACTCCAAAGTGAGGAGGACCAAAATTGTTGCAAACCAGTCAAAATAGTGTTCCTTTAAGAGTCTTCTAATTAATTTACTAATAAACATATCTCACACTCCCACATCAGAAATAAAGACTTTTCTCACTTGTA